CATAGCTCAGTTGGTAGAGCAGATGACTGTAAGAAGTTCCTGAAACGCTGTGGTCCAAAGGTCGCTGGTTCAACTCCAGCTCCAAACACCACATTTCATTGCTGTATGCACTGTTCAACCTTTTTCATTGACCATGTGGGTCCAATTGTATTGTTGGCAAAGTGTGTCGCCGAAGCCACTATGTTTTCTGCGTTTGTGTCTATAAGCACCTTCATAGCTCAGTTGGTAGAGCAGAGGACTGAAATGAAGTTCCTGAAACGCTGTGGTCCAAAGGTCGCTGGTTCAACTCCAGCTCCAAACACCAGATTTCATTGCTTTATGCACTGTTCAACCTTTTTCATTGACAAGGTAGCTTGATTCTTATGTTGGCAAAGTGTGTCGCCAAAGCCACTATGTTTTCTGCGTTTGTGTCTATAAGCACCTTCATAGCTCAGTTGGTAGAGCAGAGGACTGTAAGAAGTTCCTGAAATGCTGTGGTCCAAAGGGCGCTAGTTCAACTCCAGCTCCTAACACTAGATCTCATTGCTGTATGCACTGTTCAACCTTTTTCATTGACCATGTGGGTCCAATTGTATTGTTGGCAAAGTGTGTCGCCGAAGCCACTATGTTTTCTGCGTTTGTGTCTATAAGCACCTTCATAGCTCAGTTGGTAGAGCACAGGACTGTAAGAAGTTCCTGAAACGCTGTGGTCCAAAGGTCGCTGGTTCAACTCCAGCTCCAAACACCACATTTCATTGCTGTATGCACTGTTCAACCTTTTTCATGACCATGTGGGTCCAATTGTATTGTTGGCAAAGTGTGTCGCCGAATCCACTATGTTTTCTGCGTTTGTGTTTATAAGCACCTTCATAGCTCAGTTGGTAGAGCAGAGGACTGTAAGAAGTTCCTCAACAATGTTGTCCAAAGGTCGCTGGTTCAACTCCAGCTCCAAACACCAGATTTCATCGCTGTATGCACTGTTCAACCTTTTTCATTGACAAGGTAGCTTGATTGTTATGTTGGCAAAGTGTGTCGCCGAAGCCACTATGTTTTCTGCGTTTGTGTCTATAAGCACCTTCATAGCTCAGTTGGTAGAGCAGAGGACTGTAAGAAGTTCCTGAAACGCTGTGGTCCAAAGGTCGCTGGTTCAACTCCAGCTCCAAACACCACATTTCATTGCTGTATGCACTGTTCAACCTTTTTCATTGACCATGTGGGTCCAATTGTATTGTTGGCAAAGTGTGTCGCCGAAGCCACTATGTTTTCTGCGTTTGTGTCTATAAGCACCTTCATAGCTCAGTTGGTAGAGCAGAGGACTGTAAGAAGTTCCTAGTATGAAACTCTGTGGTCCAAAGGTCGCTGCTTCAACTCCCGCTCAAAGCACCAGTTTTCATTGGTGTATGCACTGTTCAACCTTTTTCATTGACAATGTGGGTCCAATTGTATTGTTGGCAAAGTGTGTCGCCGAAGCCACTATGTTTTCTGCGTTTGTATATATAAGCACCTTCATAGCTCAGTTGGTAGAGCAGAGGACTGTAAGAAGTTCCTGAAACGCTGTGGTCCAAAGGTCGCTGGTTCAACTCCAGCTCCAAACACCACATTTCATTGCTGTATGCACTGTTCAACGTTTTTCATTAACCATGTGGGTCCAATTGTATTGTTGGCAAAGTGTGTCGCCGAAGCCACTATGTTTTCTGCGTTTGTGTCTATAAGCACCTTCATAGCGCAGTTGGGAGAGCAGAGGACTGTAAGAAGTTCCTGAAACGCTGTGGTCCAAAGGTCGCTGGTTCAACTCCAGCTCCAAACACCACATTTCATTGCTGTATGCACTGTTCAACCTTTTTCATTGACCATGTGGGTCCAATTGTATTGTTGGCAAAGTGTGTCGCCGAAGCCACTATGTTTTCTGCGTTTGTGTCTATAAGCACCTTCATAGCTCAGTTGGTAGAGCAGATGACTGTAAGAAGTTCCTGAAACGCTGTGGTCCAAAGGTCGCTGGTTCAACTCCAGCTCCAAACACCACATTTCATTGCTGTATGCACTGTTCAACCTTTTTCATTGACCATGTGGGTCCAATTGTATTGTTGGCAAAGTGTGTCGCCGAAGCCACTATGTTTTCTGCGTTTGTGTCTATAAGCACCTTCATAGCTCAGTTGGTAGAGCAGAGGACTGAAATGAAGTTCCTGAAACGCTGTGGTCCAAAGGTCGCTGGTTCAACTCCAGCTCCAAACACCAGATTTCATTGCTTTATGCACTGTTCAACCTTTTTCATTGACAAGGTAGCTTGATTCTTATGTTGGCAAAGTGTGTCGCCAAAGCCACTATGTTTTCTGCGTTTGTGTCTATAAGCACCTTCATAGCTCAGTTGGTAGAGCAGAGGACTGTAAGAAGTTCCTGAAATGCTGTGGTCCAAAGGGCGCTAGTTCAACTCCAGCTCCTAACACTAGATCTCATTGCTGTATGCACTGTTCAACCTTTTTCATTGACCATGTGGGTCCAATTGTATTGTTGGCAAAGTGTGTCGCCGAAGCCACTATGTTTTCTGCGTTTGTGTCTATAAGCACCTTCATAGCTCAGTTGGTAGAGCACAGGACTGTAAGAAGTTCCTGAAACGCTGTGGTCCAAAGGTCGCTGGTTCAACTCCAGCTCCAAACACCACATTTCATTGCTGTATGCACTGTTCAACCTTTTTCATGACCATGTGGGTCCAATTGTATTGTTGGCAAAGTGTGTCGCCGAATCCACTATGTTTTCTGCGTTTGTGTTTATAAGCACCTTCATAGCTCAGTTGGTAGAGCAGAGGACTGTAAGAAGTTCCTCAACAATGTTGTCCAAAGGTCGCTGGTTCAACTCCAGCTCCAAACACCAGATTTCATCGCTGTATGCACTGTTCAACCTTTTTCATTGACAAGGTAGCTTGATTGTTATGTTGGCAAAGTGTGTCGCCGAAGCCACTATGTTTTCTGCGTTTGTGTCTATAAGCACCTTCATAGCTCAGTTGGTAGAGCAGAGGACTGTAAGAAGTTCCTGAAACGCTGTGGTCCAAAGGTCGCTGGTTCAACTCCAGCTCCAAACACCACATTTCATTGCTGTATGCACTGTTCAACCTTTTTCATTGACCATGTGGGTCCAATTGTATTGTTGGCAAAGTGTGTCGCCGAAGCCACTATGTTTTCTGCGTTTGTGTCTATAAGCACCTTCATAGCTCAGTTGGTAGAGCAGAGGACTGTAAGAAGTTCCTAGTATGAAACTCTGTGGTCCAAAGGTCGCTGCTTCAACTCCCGCTCAAAGCACCAGTTTTCATTGGTGTATGCACTGTTCAACCTTTTTCATTGACAATGTGGGTCCAATTGTATTGTTGGCAAAGTGTGTCGCCGAAGCCACTATGTTTTCTGCGTTTGTATATATAAGCACCTTCATAGCTCAGTTGGTAGAGCAGAGGACTGTAAGAAGTTCCTGAAACGCTGTGGTCCAAAGGTCGCTGGTTCAACTCCAGCTCCAAACACCACATTTCATTGCTGTATGCACTGTTCAACGTTTTTCATTAACCATGTGGGTCCAATTGTATTGTTGGCAAAGTGTGTCGCCGAAGCCACTATGTTTTCTGCGTTTGTGTCTATAAGCACCTTCATAGCGCAGTTGGGAGAGCAGATGACTCTAAGAAGTTCCTGAAACGCTGTGGTCCAAAGGTCGCTGGTTCACCTCCAGCTCCAAACACCAGATTTCATTCCTTTATGCACTGTTCAACCTTTTTCATTGACAAGGTAGCTTGATTGTTATGTTGGCAAAGTGTGTCGCCGAAGCCACTATGTTTTCTGCGTTTGTGTCTATAAGCACCTTCATAGCTCAGTTGGTAGAACAGAGGACTTTAAGAAGTTCCTGAAACCCTGTGGTCCAAAGGTCGCTGGTTCAACTCCAGCTCCAAACACCACATTTCATTGCTGTATGCACTGTTCAACCTTTTTCATTGACCATGTGGGTCCAATTGTATTGTTGGCAAAGTGTGTCGCCGAAGCCACTATGTTTTCTGCGTTTCTATATATAAGCACCTTCATAGCTCAGTTGGTAGAGCAGAGCACTGTAAGAAGTTCCTGAAACGCTGTGGTCCAAAGGTCGCTGGTTCAACTCCAGCTCCAAACACCAGTTTTCATTGGTGTATGCACTGTTCAACCATTTTCATTGACCATGTCGGTCCAATTGTATTGTTGGCAAAGTGTGTCGCCGAAGCCACTATGTTTTCTGCGTTTGTGTCTATAAGCACCTTCATAGCTCAGTTGGTAGAGCAGAGGACTGTAAGAAGTTCCTGAAACGCTGTTGTCCAAAGGTCGCTGGTTCAACTCCAGCTCCTAACACTAGATCTCATTCCTTTATGCACTGTTCAACCTTTTTCATTGACAAGGTAGCTTGATTGTTATGTTGGCAAAGTGTGTCGCCGAAGCCACTATGTTTTCTGCGTTTGTGTCTATAAGCACCTTCATAGCTCAGTTGGTAGAACAGAGGACTTTAAGAAGTTCCTGAAACCCTGTGGTCCAAAGGTCGCTGGTTCAACTCCAGCTCCAAACACCACATTTCATTGCTGTATGCACTGTTCAACCTTTTTCATTGACCATGTGGGTCCAATTGTATTGTTGGCAAAGTGTGTCGCCGAAGCCACTATGTTTTCTGCGTTTGTGTCTATAAGCACCTTCATAGCTCAGTTGGTAGAGCACAGGACTGTAAGAAGTTCCTGAAACGCTGTGGTCCAAAGGTCGCTGGTTCAACTCCAGCTCCAAACACCACATTTCATTGCTGTATGCACTGTTCAACCTTTTTCATTGACCATGTTGGTCCAATTATATTGTTGGCAAAGTGTGTCGCCGAAGCCACTAGGTTTTCTGCGTTTGTGTCTATAAGCACCTTCATACCTCAGTTGGTAGAGCAGAGGACTGTAAGAAGTTCCTGAAACGCTGTGGTCCAAAGGTCGCTGGTTCAACTCCAGCTCCAAACACCACATTTCATTGCTGTATGCACTGTTCAACCTTTTTCATTGACCATGTGGGTCCAATTGTATTGTTGGCAAAGTGTGTCGCCGAAGCCACTATGTTTTCTGCGTTTGTGTCTATAAGCACCTTCATAGCTCAGTTGGTAGAGCAGATGACTGTAAGAAGTTCCTGAAACGCTGTGGTCCAAAGGTCGCTGGTTCAACTCCAGCTCCAAACACCACATTTCATTGCTGTATGCACTGTTCAACCTTTTTCATTGACAAGGTAGCTTGATTGTTATTGTAGGATATTGACGAGGCTTGACGACTTCTTAAAACTCAGTTCTTTTTATGTAGCATTCAGCAGAGCCACCAACATACAGACCGGCACATGACCATATGATAGAGAGACCGTTTAGCTTTGCGACCGTGCCATTAAGTGCAACTGCTATGGGTGCCCGCGAGGCACATCCACGATAATATATCACAATGTAGCACAATATATCACATCCTTCCTTTTTTTTTTTTTTTTTTTTTTTATGCTCGTTACCCACAAGTGATAAACAATAATAATAAACCAAACATTTTACATGCTGCAAATGCTGCCCAAGTGCAATCTAAATAAATAAATCAAATCACATGATCATTGTCCATTAATCATAGAATACTCAGTATCCATATCTTATAGGTGGTTTACTTTGTCTACCAGATCTGGTCTGATAAGCTAGTGGTTCAGAATGTTCAACAGCTGCCTTGAGTGGGACACTAACAACTTCATTCTTAGGCGGTGGTGTTTCTGGTGAACGCGTTGGTGTTGCATGTCTGAAACTTGTACCATAGTCTTTTGCCCATGAGTTTGTATTCAGATCTATGTCCTGTTGTTCCTTAGTTTCAGGAAAGGTTTCCTCTCTGGTTTTCCTCAGATGTTTTCTGTTTCTCCTGTACTGTTTCCCCTCAGGTGTACGGATAACAAATGATCTTGGATGTTCATGTTTTTGTAAGACCACAGCGGGCTGCCAGGCCTCTCCTCTTTGCACGCGGACATTGTCTCCTGCTTGTAGATCAGGCAGGTTCTTGGTATGCCTGTCGAAGTAGAATTTTTGACACTCCTGTCTTTCTTTTAGCCTGCTGTGCACCTGGTCAGATCCCTGTGGAGTAAGCAGTGAGGTAGCAGTTGGTAGTTTTCCTCTCAGCCGCCTGCCCATGAACAGCTGAGCTGGTGATAGACCTACACCCTCCAGCGGTGTGTTGCGATACTCCAAGAGTGAAATATAGGGATCCCCATTGCTGTCCTCAGCTTTCTTCAGCAGTTTCTTAATAGATTGTATGGCCCTTTCTGATTGACCATTCCCTTGGGCATGTCCTGGGCTAGATGTACTGTGTTTAAACTCCCAGTCATTGACAAAGTCTTTAAACTCAACACTGGCATAAGCTGGTCCATTGTCCGAAAGCAAATGATCACAAATGCCATGTCTAGAAAAGATGGATTTCAGCGCCACGATGACACTGCTGCTCGTGGTGTTTTTCAGCTTAACGATTTCAGGGAACTTGGAGAAATAATCCACACACAGCAGAAAGTCAGATCCTTTGAAATGAAAGATGTCCGTGCCTACTTTCTCCCACGGTCTCTCTGGTACTGGGTGTGAAATTAAAGGCTCTCTTGGGTTACTGTTCTGGTGCTCCTGACATGTAGCACATTGAGACACCAGTTCTTCAATTTGTGCCGACATGTGCGGCCAATACAGAATGTCTCTAGCTCTCGCTTTGCACTTCACAATACCCAGGTGGGACTCATGTATTTTGTTCAGCATTTCCTGCCTCATCTGATTTGGAACAATGAGCTTTGCTGCTTTAAACATCAGCCCATCTGCGTGTGTGATTTCATCCCTGAATGTCCAATAAGGCTGAATCAATTTTGGTACTGCACTGCGTTCTTTGGGCCAACCCCTAAGTATGATGTTTTTCAACAGCTGCATTTCGGGGTCCTCTGCAGATGCTGACCTGAACTTGTGCAGTTTCTCCTCCGATACTGGAAGCTGAAGTGTGACTGAATTCACCTCCAAGTCTTTCTCCAGCAGCTCTTCTTTCTGCTCATTGAGATAAGCGCGACTCAGCGCGTCTGCTATATGCAGCTCCTTTCCAGGACGATATTTTACTTTCAGGCTGTATCGCTGCAGCCTCAGCAGCATTCTCTGGAGCCTCATGGGAGCTTGATGCAATGGTTTTTTGAATATGCTTTCCAGTGGCTTATGGTCACTCTCGACTTGTATTTCTTTTCCATAGACATACTGGTGAAACTTTTCGCATCCATAGACAATGGCAAAAAGCTCTTTTTCTATTTGCGCATATCGGCGTTGACAGTCACTGAGTGCTCTTGATCCATAGGCTACTGGCTGTCCCTCCTGCAGCAGGACTGCTCCTATGCCCTCCGAGCTGGCATCCACTGACAGAGTTACTGGTTTATTCACATCATAGAACTTTAAAGTTGGAGCACTTGTGACCAGCTTTTTTAGTGTTTCGAAACTCCTTTTTTGTGGTTCCTCCCAGTGCCACTCTGTGTCATCTTCAAGTAGTTTTCTTAAAGGTGCATTAACTTCAGACAGGTTAGGAATAAACTTAGCAAGATACTGGATCATGCCATTGAATCGCATTAATTCCTGCTTGTCCTGTGGTGGCGGAAGCTCGGTCACAGCTCTTACTTTTTCTTCATCTGGTTTCAGTCCACTGGCACTGAGCTTGTGTCCAATGTATTTTATTTCGGTTGTTCTGATTTTGCATTTGTCTCTATTCAGCTTCAGGTTGTTCTCCTTTGCTCGCTGCAGTAACAACCTCAGCCTGTGGTCGTGCTGCGCCACAGAGTCGCCCCAGACAAGCAAATCATCAATAATATTTACTACACCCTCCAGGCCCTCAATCATCTGTGCGATGGCCCTCTGGAACACCTCTGACGCGGAAGATATCCCAAACGGCAACCGCAGGAACCTATATCTTCCTAATGGGGTGTTGAAGGTGCAGAGCTTCGAGCTCTCCTCATCAAGTCTGATTTGCCAAAACCCTTTATTAGCGTCCAGCACTGAGAAGTATTTGGCGTTGGGCATACGGGAAACAACTTCCTCCACTGTCAGCAATGGGTAGTGCTCCCGTTTAATAGCTTCATTCAAGTCCTTTGGGTCTATACAGATTCGGATTTTCTTAGGTGTCACAACAGTGACCATACTATTGACCCAGTCTGTGGGCTCCGTCTGCCTTGTTATGACTCCCATTTTTACCATGCGGTGTAGTTCCTCCACCACTCTGTCTCTGATCGCCACGGGAACCCTCCTTGGTGCGTGCACAACAGGGGTGACAGTGTGGTCAATCTGGATATGGTGCTGACCCGGTATGCAGCCCAGTCCATCGAACAGGTCCTCATAGTCTTTGAGAATGTCATCTTCCTTTAAGATTTCATGCATCCTCTTCAACAAGCCTAGTTTCACACAAGTGTCTCCGCCCAGTATAGCTGGTACATCTTCCTGTGTAATCTCAAACTCAATGCGGTGCTTTTGTCCTTTATGTTCACAGGTTAAAGCTCTCTTGCCCAATGGTGCTATTTTCTGCCCAAAGAAAGCAACCAGCTTGCTCTTGCTGGCATTAAGCCTGCCTCTGACCTCCAGTGCATTGAATGTTTTAATTGACATTGCATTACAATCTGCACCAGTGTCCAACTTAAAGGTCACCACATTGTTATTAATTCTCAGGCTTTCTGTCCATTTTTCTTTCTCAGTTTCGGTCTCAGCAGACTCCATTATACTGATGTATTTGTCTTGCTCCACTCTAAGTGTGCCAATGAACATGTCATCCTCTTCTTCACTCTGCACTACAGCATGCATTCTCCTTCTGTACTGCTGCTGCTTCTTCCATGAGCCTGACTGACTCTGTGATCTGCACATTTTAGCAAAGTGATTTTTCTTTTGACACTTTTTGCATATTTGGCCAAGTGCAGGACATGCATTAGCTCCATGTTTAAAGCCACATCTATTGCAGCTCGCCTCGGTCTGCTGTTCTGCATTTGCTTTCACTCTAAAGTCTTTCTTTTTGACAGTTTTAACAGCGTTCATTTCGACCTCTTCTGTCAGTGCTTTGACTTGAGTATTTGTTAGCTCGCTCGCCCTGCAAATATCAACAGCCTTTTCCAGTGTCAAATCAGCCTCTCTCAACAGTCTGCCTCTCACTTGGTCGTTAGTTATTCCACACACAATGCGGTCACGTACCAGGGAATCGTGCAGATCTCCAAACTCGCAGTCCTTTGCCTTGCTCTTTAGATCCGTCACATATGAATCAATGGGCTCCGACTGCTTCTGTGCTCGGGTAAAGAATACGTGCCGTATGTACGTTAAGTTCTTCCGCGGCTCACAGTACTCCTTAAATTTGCTCTTCAGCACAGCTATCTTGTCCTTCTCCGCGTCGGCGAAGACGAATGTGTTGCACACCTTAATCGCCTCCTCTCCCGCGACGTGAAGAAAAGTTGCACACTGTACTTTTTCGGACTTTTCCGAGACTCCACTAGCGACGCTGAACAGTTCAAAGCGCTGACTCCAACACTTCCAGTTCTCAGCAAGATTGCCTTGCAAACTCAGGTTCGGCGGGGGTTGAAACTGCGCCATACCGACTCACTTCACCCGAACTTCTTCTGACACCATGTAGGATATTGACGAGGCTTGACGACTTCTTAAAACTCAGTTCTTTTTATGTAGCATTCAGCAGAGCCACCAACATACAGACCGGCACATGACCATATGATAGAGAGACCGTTTAGCTTTGCGACCGTGCCATTAAGTGCAACTGCTATGGGTGCCCGCGAGGCACATCCACGATAATATATCACAATGTAGCGCAATATATCACAGTTATGTTGGCAAAGTGTGTCGCCGAAGCCACTATGTTTAATGCGTTTGTGTCTATAAGCACCTTCATAGCTCAGTTGGTAGAGCAGAGGACTGTAAGAAGTTCCTGAAACGCTGTGGTCCAAAGGTCGCTCGTTCAACTCCAGCTCCAAACACCACATTTCATTGCTGTATGCACTGTTCAACCTTTTTCATTGACCATGTGGGTCCAATTGTATTGTTGGCAAAGTGTGTCGCCGAAGCCACTATGTTTTCTGCGTTTGTGTCTATACGCACCTTCATAGCTCAGTTGGTAGAGCAGAGGACTGTAAGAAGTTCCTGAAACGCTGTGGTCCAAAGGTCGCTGGTTCAACTCCAGCTCCAAACACCACATTTCATTCCTGTATGCACTGTTCAACCTTTTTCATTGACCATGTGGGTCCAATTGTATTGTTGGCAAAGTGTGTCGCCGAAGCCACTATGTTTTCTGCGTTTGTATATATAAGCACCTTCATAGCCCAGTTGGTAGAGCAGAGGACTGTAAGAAGTTCCTGAAACGCTGTGGTCCAAAGGTCGCTGGTTCAACTCCAGCTCCAAACACCACATTTCATTGCTTTATGCACTGTTCAACCTTTTTCATTGACCAGGTAGCTTGATTGTTATGTTGGCAAAGTGTGTCGCCGAAGCCACTATGTTTTCTGCGTTTGTGTCTATAAGCACCTTCATAGCTCAGTTGGTAGAGCAGAGGACTGTAAGAAGTTCCTGAAACGCTGTGGTCCAAAGGTCGCTGGTTCAACTCCAGCTCCAAACACCACATTTCATTGCTGTATGCACTGTTCAACCTTTTTCATTGACCATGTGGGTCCAATTGTTATGTTGGCAAAGTGTGTCGCCGAAGCCACTATGTTTTCTGCGTTTGTGTCTATAAGCACCTTCATAGCTCAGTTGGTAGAGCAGAGGACTGTAAGAAGTTCCTGAAATGCTGTGGTCCAAAGGGTGCTGGTTCAACTCCAGCTCCTAACACTAGATCTCATTGCTGTATGCACTGTTCAACCTTTTTCATTGACCATGTGGGTCCAATTGTATTGTTGGCAAAGTGTGTCGCCGAAGCCACTATGTTTTCTGCGTTTGTGTCTATAAGCACCTTCATAGCTCAGTTGGTAGAGCACAGGACTGTAAGAAGTTCCTGAAACGCTGTGGTCCAAAGGTCGCTGGTTCAACTCCAGCTCCAAACACCACATTTCATTGCTGTATGCACTGTTCAACCTTTTTCATTGACCATGTGGGTCCAATTGTATTGTTGGCAAAGTGTGTCGCCGAATCCACTATGTTTTCTGCGTTTGTGTTTATAAGCACCTTCATAGCTCAGTTGGTAGAGCAGAGTACTGTAAGAAGTTCCTCAACAATGTTGTCCAAAGGTCGCTGGTTCAACTCCAGCTCCAAACACCAGATTTCATTCCTGTATGCACTGTTCAACCTTTTTCATTGACAAGGTAGCTTGATTGTTATGTTGGCAAAGTGTGTCGCCGAAGCCACTATGTTTTCTGCGTTTGTATATATAAGCACCTTCATAGCTCAGTTGGTAGAGCAGAGGACTGTAAGAAGTTCCTGAAACGCTGTGGTCCAAAGGTCGCTGGTTCAACTCCAGCTCCAAACACCACATTTCATTGCTGTATGCACTGTTCAACCTTTTTCATTGACCATGTGGGTCCAATTGTATTGTTGGCAAAGTGTGTCGCCGAAGCCACTATGTTTTCTGCGTTTGTGTCTATAAGCACCTTCATAGCGCAGTTGGGAGAGCAGATGACTGTAAGAAGTTCCTGAAACGCTGTGGTCCAAAGGTCGCTGGTTCAACTCCAGCTCCAAACACCAGATTTCATTGCTTTATGCACTGTTCAACCTTTTTCATTGACAAGGTAGCTTGATTGTTATGTTGGCAAAGTGTGTCGCCGAAGCCACTATGTTTTCTGCGTTTGTGTCTATAAGCACCTTCATAGCTCAGTTGGTAGAGCAGAGGACTGTAAGAAGTTCCTGAAATGCTGTGGTCCAAAGGGCACTGGTTCAACTCCAGCTCCTAACACTAGATCTCATTGCTGTATGCACTGTTCAACCTTTTTCATTGACCAAGTTGGTCCAATTGTATTGTTGGCAAAGTGTGTCGCCGAAGCCACTATGTTTTCTGCGTTTGTGTCTATAAGCACCTTCATAGCTCAGTTGGTAGAGCAGATGACTGTAAGAAGTTCCTGAAACGCTGTGGTCCAAAGGTCGCTGCTTCAACTCCAGCTCCAAACACCACATTTCATTGCTGTATGCACTGTTCAACCTTTTTCATTGACAAGGTAGCTTGATTGTTATGTTGGCAAAGTGTGTCGCCGAAGCCACTATGTTTAATGCATTTGTGTCTATAACCACCCTCATAGCTCAGTTGGTAGAGCAGAGGACTGTAAGAAGTTCCTGAAACGCTGTGGTCAAAAGGTCGCTGGTTCAACTCCAGCTCCAAACACCAGATTTCATTGCTGTATGCACTGTTCAACCTTTTTCATTGACCATGTGGGTCCAATTGTATTGTTGGCAAAGTGTGTCGCCGAAGCCACTATGTTTTCTGCGTTTGTGTCTATACGCACCTTCATAGCTCAGTTGGTAGAGCAGAGGACTGTAAGAAGTTCCTGAAACGCTGTGGTCCAAAGGTCGCTGGTTCAACTCCAGCTCCAAACACCAGATTTCATTGCTGTATGCACTGTTCAACCTTTTTCATTGACCATGTGGGTCCAATTGTATTGTTGGCAAAGTGTGTCGCCGAAGCCACTATGTTTTCTGCGTTTATATATAAGCACCTTCATAGCTCAGTTGGTAGAGCAGAGGACATTAAGAAGTTCCTGAAACGCTGTGGTCCAAAGGTCGCTGGTTCAACTCCAGCTCCAAACACCAGATTTCATTGCTTTATGCACTGTTCAACCTTTTTCATTGACAAGGTAGCTTGATTGTTATGTTGGCAAAGTGTGTCGCCAAAGCCACTATGTTTTCTGCGTTTGTGTCTATAAGCACCTTCATAGCTCAGTTGGTAGAGCAGAGGACTGTAAGAAGTTCCTGAAACGCTGTGGTCCAAAGGTCGCTGGTTCAACTCCAGCTCCTAACACTAGATCTCATTGCTGTATGCACTGTTCAACCTTTTTCATTGACCATGTGGGTCCAATTGTATTGTTGGCAAAGTGTGTCGCCGAAGCCACTATGTTTTCTGCGTTTGTGTCTATAAGCACCTTCATAGCTCAGTTGGTAGAGCACAGGACTGTAAGAAGTTCCTGAAACGCTGTGGTCCAAAGGTCGCTGGTTCAACTCCAGCTCCAAACACCAGATTTCATTGCTTTATGCACTCTTCAACCTTTTTCATTGACCAGGTACCTTGATTGTTATGTTGGCAAAGTGTGTCGCCGAAGCCACTATGTTTTCTGCGTTTGTGTCTATAAGCACCTTCATAGCTCAGTTGGTAGAGCAGAGGACTGTAAGAAGTTCCTGAAATGCTGTGGTCCAAAGGGCGCTGGTTCAACTCCAGCTCCTAACACTAGATCTCATTGCTGTATGCACTGTTCAACCTTTTTCATTGACCATGTGGGTCCAATTGTATTGTTGGCAAAGTGTGTCGCCGAAGCCACTATGTTTTCTGCGTTTGTGTCTATAAGCACCTTCATAGCTCAGTTGGTAGAGCACAGGACTGTAAGAAGTTCCTGAAACGCTGTGGTCCAAAGGTCGCTGGTTCAACTCCTGCTCCAAACACCACATTTCATTGCTGTATGCACTCTTCAACCTTTTTCATTGACCATGTGGGTCCAATTGTATTGTTGGCAAAGTGTGTCGCCGAAGCCACTATGTTTTCTGCGTTTGTGTTTATAAGCACCTTCATAGCTCAGTTGTTAGAGCAGAGGACTGTAAGAAGTTCCTCAACAATGTTGTCCAAAGGTCGCTGGTTCAACTCCAGCTCCAAACACCAGATTTCATTGCTGTATGCACTGTTCAACCTTTTTCATTGACAAGGTAGCTTGATTGTTATGTTGGCAAAGTGTGTCGCCGAAGCCACTATGTTTTCTGCGTTTGTGTCTATAAGCACCTTCATAGCTCAGTTGGTAGAGCAGAGGACTGTAAGAAGTTCCTGAAACGCTGTGGTCCAAAGGTCGCTGGTTCAACTCCAGCTCCAAACACCACATTTCATTGCTGTATGCACTGTTCAACCTTTTTCATTGACCATGTGGGTCCAATTGTATTGTTGGCAAAGTGTGTCGCCGAAGCCACTATGTTTTCTGCGTTTGTGTCTATAAGCACCTTCATAGCTCAGTTGGTAGAGCAGAGGACTGTAAGAAGTTCCTAGTATGAAACTCTGTGGTCCAAAGGTCGCTGCTTCAACTCCCGCTCAAAGCACCAGTTTTCATTGGTGTATGCACTGTTCAACCTTTTTCATTGACCATGTGGGTCCAATTGTATTGTTGGCAAAGTGTGTCGCCGAAGCCACTATGTTTTCTGCGTTTGTATATATAAGCACATTCATAGCTCAGTTGGTAGAGCAGAGGACTGTAAGAAGTTCCTGAAACGCTGTGGTCCAAAGGTCGCTGGTTCAACTCCAGCTCCAAACACCACATTTCATTGCTGTAAGCACTTCAACCTTTTTCATTGACCATGTGGGTCCAATTGTATTGTTGGCAAAGTGTGTCGCCGAAGCCACTATGTTTTCTGCGTTTGTGTTTATAAGCACCTTCATAGCTCAGTTGGAGAGCAGAGACTGTAAGAAGTTCCTGAAACGCTGTGGTCCAAAGGTCGCTGGTTCAACTCCAGCTCCAAACACCAGATTTCATTGCTGTATGCACTGTTCAACCTTTTTCATTGACAAGGTAGCTTGATTGTTATGTTGGCAAAGTGTGTCGCCGAAGCCACTATGTTTTCTGCGTTTGTGTCTATAACCACCTTCATAGCTCAGTTGGTAGAGCAGAGGACTGTAAGAAGTTCCTGAAACGCTGTGGTCAAAGGTCGCTGGTTCAACTCCAGCTCCAAACACCAGATTTCATTGCTGTATGCACTGTTCAACCTTTTTCATTGACCATGTGGGTCCAATTGTATTGTTGGCAAAGTGTGTCGCCGAAGCCACTATGTTTTCTGCGTTTGTGTCTATAAGCACCTTCATAGCTCAGTTGGTAGAGCAGAGGACTGTAAGAAGTTCCTGAAACGCTGTGGTCCAAAGGTCGCTGGTTCAACTCCAGCTCCAAACACCAGATTTCATTGCTGTATGCACTGTTCAACCTTTTTCATTGACCATGTGGGTCCAATTGTATTGTTGGCAAAGTGTGTCGCCGAAGCCACTATGTTTTCTGCGTTTATATATAAGCACCTTCATAGCTCAGTTGGTAGAGCAGAGGACATTAAGAAGTTCCTGAAACGCTGTGGTCCAAAGGTCGCTGGTTCAACTCCAGCTCCAAACACCAGATTTCATTGCTTTATGCACTGTTCAACCTTTTTCATTGACAAGGTAGCTTGATTGTTATGTTGGCAAAGTGTGTCGCCAAAGCCACTATGTTTTCTGCGTTTGTGTCTATAAGCACCTTCATAGCTCAGTTGGTAGAGCAGAGGACTGTAAGAAGTTCCTGAAACGCTGTGGTCCAAAGGTCGCTGGTTCAACTCCAGCTCCTAACACTAGATCTCATTGCTGTATGCACTGTTCAACCTTTTTCATTGACCATGTGGGTCCAATTGTATTGTTGGCAAAGTGTGTCGCCGAAGCCACTATGTTTTCTGCGTTTGTGTCTATAAGCACCTTCATAGCTCAGTTGGTAGAGCACAGGACTGTAAGAAGTTCCTGAAACGCTGTGGTCCAAAGGTCGCTGGTTCAACTCCAGCTCCAAACACCAGATTTCATTGCTTTATGCACTGTTCAACCTTTTTCATTGACAAGGTATCTTGATTGTTATGTTGGCAAAGTGTGTCGCCGAAGCCACTATGTTTTCTGCGTTTGTGTCTATAAGCACCTTCATAGCTCAGTTGGTAGAGCAGAGGACTGTAAGAAGTTCCTGAAATGCTGTGGTCCAAAGGGCGCTGGTTCAACTCCAGCTCCTAACACTAGATCTCATTGCTGTATGCACTGTTCAACCTTTTTCATTGACCATGTGGGTCCAATTGTATTGTTGGCAAAGTGTGTCGCCGAAGCCACTATGTTTTCTGCGTTTGTGTCTATAAGCACCTTCATAGCTCAGTTGGTAGAGCACAGGACTGTAAGAAGTTCCTGAAACGCTGTGGTCCAAAGGTCGCTGGTTCAACTCCTGCTCCAAACACCACATTTCATTGCTGTATGCACTCTTCAACCTTTTTCATTGACCATGTGGGTCCAATTGTATTGTTGGCAAAGTGTGTCGCCGAATCCACTATGTTTTCTGCGTTTGTGTTTATAAGCACCTTCATAGCTCAGTTGTTAGAGCAGAGGACTGTAAGAAGTTCCTCAACAATGTTGTCCAAAGGTCGCTGGTTCAACTCCAGCTCCAAACACCAGATTTCATTGCTGTATGCACTGTTCAACCTTTTTCATTGACAAGGTAGCTTGATTGTTATGTTGGCAAAGTGTGTCGCCGAAGCCACTATGTTTTCTGCGTTTGTGTCTATAAGCACCTTCATAGCTCAGTTGGTAGAGCAGAGGACTGTAAAGAAGTTCCTGAAACGCTGTGGTCCAAAGGTCGCTGGTTCAACTCCAGCTCCAAACACCACATTTCATTGCTGTATGCACTGTTCAACCTTTTTCATTGACCATGTGGGTCCAATTGTATTGTTGGCAAAGTGTGTCGCCGAAGCCACTATGTTTTCTGCGTTTGTGTCTATAAGCACCTTCATAGCTCAGTTGGTAGAGCAGAGGACTGTAAGAAGTTCCTAGTATGAAACTCTGTGGTCCAAAGGTCGCTGCTTCAACTCCCGCTCAAAGCACCAGTTTTCATTGGTGTATGCACTGTTCAACCTTTTTCATTGACCATGTGGGTCCAATTGTATTGTTGGCAAAGTGTGTCGCCGAAGCCACTATGTTTTCTGCGTTTGTATATATAAGCACATTCATAGCTCAGTTGGTAGAGCAGAGGACTGTAAGAAGTTCCTGAAACGCTGTGGTCCAAAGGTCGCTGGTTCAACTCCAGCTCCAAACACCACATTTCATTGCTGTATGCACTGTTCAACGTTTTTCATTAACCATGTGGGTCCAATTGTATTGTTGGCAAAGTGTGTCGCCGAAGCCACTATGTTTTCTGCGTTTGTGTCTATAAGCACCTTCATAGCGCAGTTGGGAGAGCAGATGACTGTAAGAAGTTCCTGAAACGCTGTGGTCCAAAGGTCGCTGGTTCAACTCCAGCTCCAAACACCAGATTTCATTGCTTTATGCACTGTTCAACCTTTTTCATTGACAAGGTAGCTTGATTGTTATGTTGGCAAAGTGTGTCGCCGAAGCCACTATGTTTTCTGCGTTTGTATATATAAGCACCTTCATAGCTCAGTTGGTAGAGCAGAGGACTGTAAGAAGTTTCTGAAATGCTGTGGTCCAAAGGGCGCTGGTTCAACTCCAGCTCCTAACACTAGATCTCATTGCTGTATGCACTCTTCAACCTTTTTCATTGACCATGTGGGTCCAATTGTATTGTTGGCAAAGTGTGTCGCCGAAGCCACTATGTTTTCTGCATTTGTATATATAAGCACCTTCATAGCTCAGTTGGTAGAGCAGATGACTGTAAGAAGTTCCTGAAACGCTGTGGTCAAAAGGTCGCTGGTTCAACTCCACTTCCAAACACCAGATTTCATTGCTGTATGCACTGTTCAACCTTTTTCATTGACAAGGTAGCTTGATTGTTATGTTGGCAAAGTGTGTCGCCGAAGCCACTATGTTTTCTGCGTTTGTGTCTATAAGCACCTTCATAGCTCAGTTGCTAGAACAGAGGACTTTAAGAAGTTCCTGAAACCCTGAGGTCCAAAGGTCGCTGTTTCAACTCCAGCTCCAAACACCACATTTCATTGCTGTATGCACTGTTCAACCTTTTTCATTGACCATGTGGGTCCAATTGTATTGTTGGCAAAGTGTGTCGCCGAAGCCACTATGTTTTCTGCGTTTGTATATATAAGCACCTTCATAGCTCAGTTGGTAGAGCAGAGGACTGTAAGAAGTTCCTGAAACGCTGTAGTCCAAAGGTCGCTGGTTCAACTCCAGCTCCAAACACCACATTTCATTGCTGTATGCACTCTTCAACCTTTTTCACTGACCATGTGGGTCCAATTGTATTGTTGGCAAAGTGTGTCACCGAAGCCACTATGTTTTCTGCGTTTGTGTGTATAAGCACCTTCATAGCTCAATTGGTAGAGCAGAGGACTGTCAGACGTTCCTGAAACGCTGTGGTCCAAAGGTCGCTGGTTCAACTCCAGCTCCAAACACCACATTTCATTGCTGTAAGCACTCTTGAACCTTTTTCATTGACCATGTGGGTCCAATTGTATTGTTGGCAAAGTGTGTCGCCGAAGCCACTATGTTTTCTGCGTTTGTGTTTATAAGCACCTTCATAGCTCAGTTGTTAGAGCAGAGGACTGTAAGAAGTTCCTCAACAATGTTGTCCAAAGGTCGCTGGTTCAACTCCAGCTCCAAACACCAGATTTCATTGGTGTATGCACTGTTCAACCTTTTTCATTGACAAGGTAGCTTGATTGTTATGTTGGCAAAGTGTGTCGCCGAAGCCACTATGTTTTCTGCGTTTGTGTCTATAAGCACCTTCATAGCTCAGTTGGTAGAGCAGAGGACTGTAAGAAGTTCCTGAAACGCTGTGGTCCAAAGGTCGCTGGTTCAACTCCAGCTCCTAACACTAGATCTCATTGCTGTATGCACTGTTCAACCTTTTTCATTGACCATGTGGGTCCAATTGTATTGTTGGCAAAGTGTGTCGCCGAATCCACTATGTTTTCTGCGTTTGTGTTTATAAGCACCTTCATAGCTCAGTTGTTAGAGCAGAGGACTGTAAGAAGTTCCTCAACAATGTTGTCCAAAGGTCGCTGGTTCAACTCCAGCTCCAAACACCAGATTTCATTGCTGTATGCACTGTTCAACCTTTTTCATTGACAAGGTAGCTTGATTGTTATGTTGGCAAAGTGTGTCGCCGAAGCCACTATGTTTTCTGCGTTTGTGTCTATAAGCACCTTCATAGCTCAGTTGGTAGAGCAGAGGACTGTAAGAAGTTCCTGAAACGCTGTGGTCCAAAGGTCGCTGGTTCAACTCCAGCTCCAAACACCACATTTCATTGCTGTATGCACTGTTCAACCTTTTTCATTGACCATGTGGGTCCAATTGTATTGTTGGCAAAGTGTGTCGCCGAAGCCACTATGTTTTCTGCGTTTGTGTCTATAAGCACCTTCATAGCTCAGTTGGTAGAGCAGAGGACTGTAAGAAGTTCCTAGTATGAAACTCTGTGGTCCAAAGGTCGCTGCTTCAACTCCCGCTCAAAGCACCAGTTTTCATTGGTGTATGCACTGTTCAACCTTTTTCATTGACCATGTGGGTCCAATTGTATTGTTGGCAAAGTGTGTCGCCGAAGCCACTATGTTTTCTGCGTTTGTATATATAAGCACATTCATAGCTCAGTTGGTAGAGCAGAGGACTGTAAGAAGTTCCTGAAACGCTGTGGTCCAAAGGTCGCTGGTTCAACTCCAGCTCCAAACACCACATTTCATTGCTGTATGCACTGTTCAACGTTTTTCATTAACCATGTGGGTCCAATTGTATTGTTGGCAAAGTGTGTCGCCGAAGCCACTATGTTTTCTGCGTTTGTGTCTATAAGCACCTTCATAGCGCAGTTGGGAGAGCAGATGACTGTAAGAAGTTCCTGAAACGCTGTGGTCCAAAGGTCGCTGGTTCAACTCCAGCTCCAAACACCAGATTTCATTGCTTTATGCACTGTTCAACCTTTTTCATTGACAAGGTAGCTTGATTGTTATGTTGGCAAAGTGTGTCGCCGAAGCCACTATGTTTTCTGCGTTTGTATATATAAGCACCTTCATAGCTCAGTTGGTAGAGCAGAGGACTGTAAGAAGTTTCTGAAATGCTGTGGTCCAAAGGGCGCTGGTTCAACTCCAGCTCCTAACACTAGATCTCATTGCTGTATGCACTCTTCAACCTTTTTCATTGACCATGTGGGTCCAATTGTATTGTTGGCAAAGTGTGTCGCCGAAGCCACTATGTTTTCTGCATTTGTATATATAAGCACCTTCATAGCTCAGTTGGTAGAGCAGATGACTGTAAGAAGTTCCTGAAACGCTGTGGTCAAAAGGTCGCTGGTTCAACTCCACTTCCAAACACCAGATTTCATTGCTGTATGCACTGTTCAACCTTTTTCATTGACAAGGTAGCTTGATTGTTATGTTGGCAAAGTGTGTCGCCGAAGCCACTATGTTTTCTGCGTTTGTGTCTATAAGCACCTTCATAGCTCAGTTGCTAGAACAGAGGACTTTAAGAAGTTCCTGAAACCCTGAGGTCCAAAGGTCGCTGTTTCAACTCCAGCTCCAAACACCACATTTCATTGCTGTATGCACTGTTCAACCTTTTTCATTGACCATGTGGGTCCAATTGTATTGTTGGCAAAGTGTGTCGCCGAAGCCACTATGTTTTCTGCGTTTGTATATATAAGCACCTTCATAGCTCAGTTGGTAGAGCAGAGGACTGTAAGAAGTTCCTGAAACGCTGTAGTCCAAAGGTCGCTGGTTCAACTCCAGCTCCAAACACCACATTTCATTGCTGTATGCACTCTTCAACCTTTTTCACTGACCATGTGGGTCCAATTGTATTGTTGGCAAAGTGTGTCACCGAAGCCACTATGTTTTCTGCGTTTGTGTGTATAAGCACCTTCATAGCTCAATTGGTAGAGCAGAGGACTGTCAGACGTTCCTGAAACGCTGTGGTCCAAAGGTCGCTGGTTCAACTCCAGCTCCAAACACCACATTTCATTGCTGTAAGCACTCTTGAACCTTTTTCATTGACCATGTGGGTCCAATTGTATTGTTGGCAAAGTGTGTCGCCGAAGCCACTATGTTTTCTGCGTTTGTGTTTATAAGCACCTTCATAGCTCAGTTGTTAGAGCAGAGGACTGTAAGAAGTTCCTCAACAATGTTGTCCAAAGGTCGCTGGTTCAACTCCAGCTCCAAACACCAGATTTCATTGGTGTATGCACTGTTCAACCTTTTTCATTGACAAGGTAGCTTGATTGTTATGTTGGCAAAGTGTGTCGCCGAAGCCACTATGTTTTCTGCGTTTGTGTCTATAAGCACCTTCATAGCTCAGTTGGTAGAGCAGAGGACTGTAAGAAGTTCCTGAAACGCTGTGGTCCAAAGGTCGCTGGTTCAACTCCAGCTCCAAACACCACATTTCATTGCTGTATGCACTGTTCAACCTTTTTCATTGACCATGTGGGTCCAATTGTATTGTTGGCAAAGTGTGTCGCCGAAGCCACTATGTTTTCTGCGTTTGTGTCTATAAGCACCTTCATAGCTCAGTTGGTAGAGCAGAGGACTGTAAGAAGTTCCTAGTATGAAACTCTGTGGTCCAAAGGTCGCTGCTTCAACTCCCGCTCAAAGAACCAGTTTTCATTGGTGTATGCACTGTTCAACCTTTTTCATTGACCATGTGGGTCCAATTGTATTGTTGGCAAAGTGTGTCGCCGAAGCCACTATGTTTTCTGCGTTTGTATATATAAGCACCTTCATAGCTCACTTGGTAGAGCAGAGGACTGTAAGAAGTTCCTGAAACGCTGTGGTCCAAAGGTCGCTGGTTCAACTCCAGCTCCAAACACCAGATTTCATTGCTTTATGCACTGTTCAACCTTTTTCATTGACAAGGTAGCTTGATTGTTATGTTGGCAAAGTGTGTCGCCGAAGCCACTATGTTTTCTGCGTTTGTGTCTATAAGCACCTTCATAGCTCAGTTGGTAGAGCAGAGGACTGTAAGAAGTTCCTGAAATGCTGTGGTCCAAAGGGCGCTGGTTCAACTCCAGCTCCTAACACTAGATCTCATTGCTGTATGCACTGTTCAACCTTTTTCATTGACCATGTGGGTCCAATTGTATTGTTGGCAAAGTGTGTCGCCGAAGCCACTATGTTTTCTGCGTTTGTGTCTATAAGCACCTTCATAGCTCAGTTGGTAGAGCACAGGACTGTAAGAAGTTCCTGAAACGCTGTGGTCCAAAGGTCGCTTGTTCAACTCCTGCTCCAAACACCACATTTCATTGCTGTATGCACTCTTCAACCTTTTTCATTGACCATGTGGGTCCAATTGTATTGTTGGCAAAGTGTGTCGCCGAATCCACTATGTTTTCTGCGTTTGTGTTTATAAGCACCTTCATAGCTCAGTTGTTAGAGCAGAGGACTGTAAGAAGTTCCTGAAACGCTGTGGTCAAAAGGTCGCTGGTTCAACTCCACTTCCAAACACCAGATTTCATTGCTGTATGCACTGTTAAACCTTTTTCATTAACAAGGTAGCTTGATTGTTATGTTGGCAAAGTGTGTCGCCGAAGCCACTATGTTTTCTGCGTTTGTGTCTATAAGCACCTTCATAGCTCAGTTGGTAGAGCAGAGGACTGTAAGAAGTTCCTGAAACGCTGTGGTCCAAAGGTCGCTGGTTCAACTCCAGCTCCAAACACCACATTTCATTGCTGTATGCACTGTTCAACCTTTTTCATTGACCATGTGGGTCCAATTGTATTGTTGGCAAAGTGTGTCGCCGAAGCCACTATGTTTTCTGCGTTTGTGTCTATAAGCACCTTCATAGCTCAGTTGGTAGAGCAGAGGACTGTAAGAAGTTCCTAGTATGAAACTCTGTGGTCCAAAGGTCGCTGCTTCAACTCCCGCTCAAAGCACCAGTTTTCATTGGTGTATGCACTGTTCAACCTTTTTCATTGACCATGTGGGTCCAATTGTATTGTTGGCAAAGTGTGTCGCCGAAGCCACTATGTTTTCTGCGTTTGTATATATAAGCACATTCATAGCTCAGTTGGTAGAGCAGAGGACTGAAATGAAGTTCCTGAAACGCTGTGGTCCAAAGGTCGCTGGTTCAACTCCAGCTCCAAACACCACATTTCATTGCTGTATGCACTGTTCAACGTTTTTCATTAACCATGTGGGTCCAATTGTATTGTTGGCAAAGTGTGTCGCCGAAGCCACTATGTTTTCTGCGTTTGTGTCTATAAGCACCTTCATAGCGCAGTTGGGAGAGCAGATGACTGTAAGAAGTTCCTGAAACACTGTGGTCCAAAGGTCGCTGGTTCAACTCCAGCTCCAAACACCAGATTTCATTGCTTTATGCACTGTTCAACCTTTTTCATTGACAAGGTAGCTTGATTGTTATGTTGGCAAAGTGTGTCGCCGAAGCCACTATGTTTTCTGCGTTTGTATATATAAGCACCTTCATAGCTCAGTTGGTAGAGCAGAGGACTGTAAGAAGTTTCTGAAATGCTGTGGTCCAAAGGGCGCTGGTTCAACTCCAGCTCCTAACACTAGATCTCATTGCTGTATGCACTCTTCAACCTTTTTCATTGACCATGTGGGTCCAATTGTATTGTTGGCAAAGTGTGTCGCCGAAGCCACTATGTTTTCTGCATTTGTATATATAAGCACCTTCATAGCTCAGTTGGTAGAGCAGATGACTGTAAGAAGTTCCTGAAACGCTGTGGTCAAAAGGTCGCTGGTTCAACTCCACTTCCAAACACCAGATTTCATTGCTGTATGCACTGTTCAACCTTTTTCATTGACAAGGTAGCTTGATTGTTATGTTGGCAAAGTGTGTCGCCGAAGCCACTATGTTTTCTGCGTTTGTGTCTATAAGCACCTTCATAGCTCAGTTGCTAGAACAGAGGACTTTAAGAAGTTCCTGAAACCCTGAGGTCCAAAGGTCGCTGTTTCAACTCCAGCTCCAAACACCACATTTCATTGCTGTATGCACTGTTCAACCTTTTTCATTGACCATGTGGGTCCAATTGTATTGTTGGCAAAGTGTGTCGCCGAAGCCACTATGTTTTCTGCGTTTGTATATATAAGCACCTTCATAGCTCAGTTGGTAGAGCAGAGGACTGTAAGAAGTTCCTGAAACGCTGTGGTCCAAAGGTCGCTGGTTCAACTCCAGCTCCAAACACCACATTTCATTGCTGTATGCACTCTTCAACCTTTTTCATTGACCATGTGGGTCCAATTGTATTGTTGGCAAAGTGTGTCACCGAAGCCACTATGTTTTCTGCGTTTGTGTGTATAAGCACCTTCATAGCTCAATTGGTAGAGCAGAGGACTGTCAGAAGTTCCTGAAACGCTGTGGTCCAAAGGTCGCTGGTTCAACTCCAGCTCCAAACACCACATTTCATTGCTGTAAGCACTCTTGAACCTTTTTCATTGACCATGTGGGTCCAATTGTATTGTTGGCAAAGTGTGTCGCCGAAGCCACAATTTTTTTTTGCGTTTGTGTCTATAAGCACCTTCATAGCTCAGTTGGTAGAGCAGAGGACTGTAAGAAGTTCCTAGTATGAAACTCTGTGATGCGAACATCGCTGGTTCAACTCCCGCTCAAAGCACCAGATATCATTGGTGTATGCCCTTTTCAAGCTTTTTCATTGACCCTGTAGCTTTAATTGTTGTGTTGGCAAAGTGTATCGTCTCAGCCACTATGTTTTCTGCTGTTGAGTCTATAAGCACCTTCATAGCTCAGTTGGTAGAGCAGAGGACTGTAAGAAGTTCCTAGTATGACACTCTGTGATGCGAACATCGCTGGTTCAACTCCTGCTCAAAGCACAAGATTTCATTGGTGTATGCACGTTTCAAGCCTTTTCATTGACCATCTAGCTTTAATTGTTGTGTTGGCAAAGTGTGTCGTCTCAGCCACTATGTTTTCTGCGGTTTTGTCTTGAATGCACCTTCATAGCTCAGTTGTTAGAGCAGAGGACTGTAAGAAGTTCCTCATATCAAACGCTGTGATGAATATCGCTGGTTCAACCCCCGCTCAAAGCACCAGTTTTCATTCGTGTATGCACTTTTCAAGCTTTTTCATTGACCATGTAGCTTTAATTGTTGTGTTGGCAAAGTGTGTCGTCTCAGCCACTATGTTTTCTGCGGTTGTGTCAATAAGCACCTTCATAGCTCAGTTGGTAGAGCAGAGGACTGTAAGAAGTTCCTAGTATGACACTCTGTGATGCGAACATCGCTGGTTCAACTCCCGCTCAAAGCACAAGATTTCATTGGTGTATGCACTTTTCAAGCTTTTTCATTGACCATGTAGCTTTAATTGTTGTGTTGGCAAAGTGTGACGTCTCAGCCACTATGTTTTCTGCAGTTGTGTCAATAAGCACCTTCAAAGCTCAGTTGGTAGAGCAGAAGACTGTAAGAAGTTCCTCATATAAAACGCTAGTATGCGAACATCGCTGGTTCAACTCCCGCTCAAAGCACCAGATTTCATTGGTGTATGCACTTTTCAAGCTTTTTCATTGACCATGTAGCTTTAATTGTTGTGTTGGCAAAGTGTGTCGTCTCAGCCACTATGTTTTCTGCGGTTGAGTCTAGAAGCACCTTCATAGCTCAGTTGGTAGAGCAGAGGACTGTAAGAAGTTCCTAGTATGAAACTCTGTGATGCGAACATCGCTGGTTCAACTCCCGCTCCAAAGCACCAGTTTTTATTGGTGTTTGCACTTTTCAAGCTTTTTCATTGACCATGTAGCTTTAATTGTTTTGTTGGCAAAGTGTATCGTATCAGCCACTATGTTTTCTGCGGTTGAGTCTACAAGCACCTTCATAGCTCCGTTGTTAGAGCAGAGGACTGTAAGAAGTTCCTAGTATGAAACTCTGTGATGCGAACATCGCTGGTTCAACTCCCGCTCAAAGCACCAGATTTCATTGGTGTATGCACTTTTCAAGCTTTTTCATTGACCATGTAGCTTTAATTGTTGTGTTGGCAAAGTGTGTCGTCTCAGCCACTATGTTTTCTGCTGTTGAGTCTATAAGCACCTTCATAGCTCAGTTGGTAGAGCAGAGGACTGTAAGAAGTTCCTAGTATGAAACTCTGTGATGCGAACATCACTCGGTTCAATTCCCGCTCAAAGCACCAGATTCATTGATGTATGCACTTTTCAAGCTTTTTCATTGACCATGTAGCTTTAATTGTTGTGTTGGCAAAGTGTGTCGTCTCAGCCACTATGTTTTCTGCGGTTGTGTCATAAGCACCTTCATAGCTCAGTTGGTAGAGCAGAGGACTGTAAGAAGTTCCTCATATAAAACGCTATTATGCGAACATCGCTGGTTCAACTCCCGCTCAAAGCACCAGATATCATTGGTGTATGCACTTTTCAAGCTTTTTCATTGACCATGTAGCTTTAATTGTTGTGTTGGCAAAGTGTATCGTCTCAGCCACTATGTTTTCTGCTGTTGAGTCTATAAGCACCTTCATAGCTCAGTTGGTAGAGCAGAGGACTGTAAGAAGTTCCTAGTATGACACTCTGTGATGCGAACATCGCTGGTTCAACTCCTGCTCAAAGCACAAGATTTCATTGGTGTATGCACTTTTCAAGCCTTTTCATTGACCATCTAGCTTTAATTGTTGTGTTGGCAAAGTGTGTCGTCTCAGCCACTATGTTTTCTGCGGTTTTGTCTTGAATGCACCTTCATAGCTCAGTTGTTAGAGCAGAGGACTGTAAGAAGTTCCTCATATCAAACGCTGTGATGAATATCGCTGGTTCAACCCCCGCTCAAAGCACCAGTTTTCATTCGTGTATGCACTTTTCAAGCTTTTTCATTGACCATGTAGCTTTAATTGTTGTGTTGGCAAAGTGTGTCGTCTCAGCCACTATGTTTTCTGCGGTTGTGTCAATAAGCACCTTTATAGCTCAGTTGGTAGAGCAGAGGACTGTAAGAAGTTCCTAGTATGAACTCTGTGATGCGAACATCGCTGGTTCAACTCCCGCTCAAAGCACAAGATTTCATTGGTGTATGCACTTTTCAAGCTTTTTCATTGACCATGTAGCTTTAATTGTTGTGTTGGCAAAGTGTGACGTCTCAGCCACTATGTTTTCTGCGTTGTGTCAATAAGCACCTTCAAAGCTCAGTTGGTAGAGCAGAAGACTGTAAGAAGTTCCTCATATAAAACGCTATATGCGAACATCGCTGGTTCAACTCCCGCTCAAAGCACCAGATTTCATTGGTGTATGCACTTTTCAAGCTTTTTCATTGACCATGTAGCTTTAATTGTTGTGTTGGCAAAGTGTGTCGTCTCAGCCACTATGTTTTCTGCGGTTGCATCTATAAGCACCTTCATAGCTCAGTTGGTAGAGCAGAGGACTGTAAGAAGTTCCTGAAACGCTGTGGTCCAAAGGTCGCTGGTTCAACTCCAGCTCCAAACACCAGATTTCATTGGTGTATGCACTGTTCAACCTTTTTCATTGACCATGTGGGTCCAATTGTATTGTTGGCAAAGTGTGTCGCCGAAGCCACTATGTTTTCTGCGTTTGTGTCTATAAGCACCTTCATAGCTCAGTTGGTAGAGCAGAGGACTGTAAGAAGTTCCTAGTATGAAACTCTGTGGTCCAAAGGTCGCTGCTTCAACTCCCGCTCAAAGAACCAGTTTTCATTGGTGTATGCACTGTTCAACCTTTTTCATTGACCATGTGGGTCCAATTGTATTGTTGGCAAAGTGTGTCGCCGAAGCCACTATGTTTTCTGCGTTTCTATATATAAGCACCTTCATAGCTCAGTTGGTAGAGCAGAGGACTGTAAGAAGTTCCTGAAACGCTGTGGTCCAAAGGTCGCTGGTTCAACTCCAGCTCCAAACACCACATTTCATTGCTGTATGCACTGTTCAACGTTTTTCATTAACCATGTGGGTCCAATTGTATTGTTGGCAAAGTGTGTCGCCGAAGCCACTATGTTTTCTGCGTTTGTGTCTATAAGCACCTTCATAGCGCAGTTGGGAGAGCAGATGACTGTAAGAAGTTCCTGAAACGCTGTGGTCCAAAGGTCGCTGGTTCAACTCCAGCTCCAAACACCACATTTCATTGCTTTATGCACTGTTCAACCTTTTTCATTGACCAGGTAGCTTGATTGTTATGTTGGCAAAGTGTGTCGCCGAAGCCACTATGTTTTCTGCGTTTGTATATATAAGCACCTTCATAGCTCAGTTGGTAGAGCAGAGGACTGTAAGAAGTTCCTGAAACGCTGTGGTCCAAAGGTCGCTGGTTCAACTCCAGCTCCAAACACCAGATTTCATTGCTGTATGCACTCTTCAACCTTTTTCATTGACCATGTGGGTCCAATTGTATTGTTGGCAAAGTGTGTCGCCGAAGCCACTATGTTTTCTGCGTTTATATATAAGCACCTTCATAGCTCAGTTGGTAGAGCAGAGGACATTAAGAAGTTCCTGAAACGCTGTGGTCCAAAGGTCGCTGGTTCAACTCCAGCTCCAAACACCAGATTTCATTGCTTTATGCACTGTTCAACCTTTTTCATTGACAAGGTAGCTTGATTGTTATGTTGGCAAAGTGTGTCGCCAAAGCCACTATGTTTTCTGCGTTTGTGTCTATAAGCACCTTCATAGCTCAGTTGGTAGAGCAGAGGACT